ATATGCTGGAAATAACAAACGAAACCTTAAAGAAATAGAGCGAATACGAAAAAAGACCCAGGCAAGAGTCATCCACAGAATCAAATCCCTCAAGTGGTAATGGTCATGATACCTGGCAAGAATTAATAGATCAAGATCAAACCTAAGATGGAACTATGATGAGATTAGCAGGGATAACTAAGCCCCCTTAGCCAGACAACAATTACAAAAAAAATACCTGAATATAAGGGACGCTACATATAATTGGAAATGGTTGAATAAGCTGAAAATGATGATGATTATCATTATCATTAGATCCCACGAATCAGGGAAAACAATTGCAAAATACATATAGATAAGTCTATAGAAGACAAAATTATATTCGTTCCTCTTAGTCAATACCCAGAGTCTATGAATGAATTATAGCTTTAATGCAGTGGATTTCACATAAATTTATAGTGAAAAATACGTATAGGTATCTGCAAAATAGTTAAACAACGTAAAACACGAGATATTACAATAAAACTTTCTTAATTATCCTTCCGTGTGTATCGAGACGCAACCAGATGTTCGTGACGGTTTTATGTGGTTTATGTTAATACAACTATCCCATATTTGGATACTAGTCTATTTTAGATGATATATACTTTAGGAAATCGAACCGCATTATATTGTCCTGATTTGTTCTACAAAAATTCTACAATATATATTGGACATAATTTTTTTTATAAGCATGAATTGTCTCATTATTAAAAATAACCTCAAAATTGAGTGTTATTCAATCAGTAATGTGCAGACATATAACTACTTGCTATTTTTATTTAAAATATGTATTTTTTATCAAATATCTAAACTTTAAAAAAATTTGGAACCGGAGGTCACATTTCACAATCGGAGGTGTGGAATTGTGTGTGTGTGCTCTAAATGCACTGGGTGAGCATAGCAATATTAAGTTATCCTGGGTATCAGGGTGGACGGGTCACAAGAGTAAGGAAAATGCAGATGAAATGGCTAAACAATAAGACTCATAAATATTATTCCCCAGCCCAGAAACCTTCTGCGGCGCTGCAAAAACAGTCACAAGAATGGCCGCAATATGATGGGTGGCCAACAAATCTCTAAAATTATGGAAGATAGTGTCATAGACGCCAGAATTCACGGCAATAGTGATAAGCAAAGACATAAAAACAGACAAAGCTGTAGTGAGCCTAATAACAAAGCTGAATAGGCATCTAAAGATGCCATCATCAAAGATGCATCTGTGATGATGGGATTGACAGACAAAGCCATGTGCAAGTTGTGTCAGTATGAAGAAGACAGAACACATCTTATCTCGCTGCGACAGCCTGTCAAATATGCGGTTGTTTGTACTAGGCAATGACTGGCCATTGGCAAAGATTTATATGGAGGGTTCAGTCTCCAAGTTACTATACTTTCTGAAAAGTATAGGACTGGAGAATGTTACATAATGACTAAAGAGGACCTAAAAACCTTGAAAAGCCACCTCGAAAAATACTATCTTATCTAATTTTTGTTTTAAACATTTTTAAAATTTTGATTTTGTATCCTATATTGTTATTTAATTCTTAAAACCATACTGAATGTGTGCAATTAATAATTTACCTACGAATATGAGGTATCAAATATTTTGCTTTTTAATTAAAAAAAATCAAATTTTAGTGAGGATGCAGTCAATAATCTATAGCCTATAAAATCCTAATAAAACTACTTTTCAATTTATCAAGCTTTCGAGAAATTTATTCCCATCATCAGGACAGTTTGAATGAGTAAATTAACAAAACAACAATCATCCTTTGCACAATAAGGCCTTACAAACTAACATCATTTGACATTTAATTTTGTAATCACAAAGAATTTCCTTTATAAAAATATTCAAAATACATAATATATACATCGAAAATAAATTGCTACATTGTTGTTTTGAGCTCGATCAAACAGTAACTGAGAGAGTTAAATTTGAGGTTTTTTCTTAGCTTAGTTGAAATTATAACTAAACCTGCTGTTTAAAAAAATATATATATGGGGAAATTAAAATAACTTTTGTTGCACATCATAATACGACCACCAGCAAACTCCGTAAGACGATGCATGGTATCATTGATGACGTGTAACAAAAGTTGTTTTAATTTCACTTTAAATATATTTATTAAAACCAATTAATGTTCCTTATGATGATCAGATACTCTAAGCTCTTCAACTAAGTACGCCACTGATGAACAATCATAAAGTTAATTACGGAGAACCTCCACAAATCTAGATCCTTAGGAAGGAATCTTCTTGTAGAAAGGATATTGATGTTTTTAATTGTTTCAATTTTGATGTTTTTGCAACGTACGCCTTGTTTCTTTTTTGTTATGATTATAAAATGAGCAATACTTTTTTCGCACAAGCGTGTGTATTTCGTGTTTTTTACATATTGCAATATTATATTTTTTAATATATTCATTAAGACACGGTTGAACTAATATTCAGATTAATAAGTATCACTGACTAAACTTCAATTTCATAATTACATATATAACCAAAGAGCAATTTATTTATTTCTTTTATACATAGATAAACAAAACTGAAGATATTTACATTGTGTCGAAACTTAATTGTATTAAATATTTTACAAGTTATTATATATATACATATACGGAACTATCATCGATAACTGAAATACATACATTGGACACGGGCCAGTGGATTATAACAACGCAAAAATTATAATGAAAAAAGCGTTAGCTTCTAAAATAAAAAGAAAAGAGGCTTTTTTAATGCAATGTAACAAAAATAAATAAATTGCTCATGCATCTATAGAGGTTAGTAATGTCTGGCAATCGTTTTTTTGATTTTAAAGAACATAACATAAATAAACATAAGTAAAAATTAAAATAACTTGAAAATAATCATACCGAAAGTTTGAAGCTTTTTGGTTTTACCTTATTAATTATTGTTATCAGGTAGTATTTGTAAATTTTGAAGTTTAACTTGGTATAATGTCATTTTAACCGAACGTCGACGGTTTTTATTAGTAATGGGATAACTTGAGCGAAAATGCGATGGGTGAAAAACCGTATTTTTAACCACTCGGTTATTGCAATCGCTTGAAACTTGAATATTCGATTATTGAAATTAATCGGTTTTTCCCATCACTAGTTTTTTTAGACGTATCTGTTTGAAAAAATACTAAAGTGTTCTTGAATAGTTCTTATTTAGACATTTTAAATGTTTTTTTTTGTTCTTTGTGTGGTTTTGCTTCCGACGACGGGAAGAAATATACTTCCTGAAACGTTAAACATTTTTTTGACCGCTAGGCAAATTTGTTTATTAGTAAACCACTGCTGACAATAATTAGGCTCCTTTGGATTGACGCAGCAGTGTTTACAAAAAATAACTATTTTATTTTGTAGACTTTTTTGAAGAGATAAATCCATCCAACTATTTCTCATCTCCTTGTGAATACTCTCACATCATTATGGAAAACGGATTTATATATAATATATACTAAAAACTAATTCTATTATTTAATTTGATGCTTGTTTTGAGGCTAGTAATATCAGCCGATAAATATTTGAATTTCTTAAGTTTATTGCAACCAAATTAGCAAAATCAGATCTATACCTATTTCAATCATTGTTAATGTAATATAAATAGTAATAAATAATATTTTCTTTTAGAAAATTAAAGTATACTGGAATGGTTTTGTACCTCTCTAATGATACAAAGAATAACAAATCATGTATTTTATATAACTTTTTAATAATTATTGATAAATCCAAATTTCCCAGTGATTCGACTATATGCTTGTAAAAATATATTGAATTAATTGCGATATTGTATAACTATCATTAATCCTACATCAATTATTACACTTTAATTGAACCTTTTATTAATTTATCATTGTAAACATCATTGATTATAGATAATTATTAAATTTATTACATGTTAACATATATGAATGCTTCCATATTTTTTTCCAACTTCCTATCTTTAACTTCCTTATGGTTAATGTACCTACAGTAGCGTACCTTTGCCATCTGTTGTAAACAAGAAATATCGTTTGTTTACACGTTGCTATTAGGAAAAGCAAACGCTTTCTTTTGTCAAATTAGATTTGTTTTGTTTGTTTATTTATCCACTTGATATAACAAGGTAGTTTCCTACATGCTTTTAAATACTAATTCACAGTTTTATTTTGACACTGTCGTAGTGCTAGGCCTATTAGCACTATTATTATGTATCATAACAACATATCATAATAACTTAACCTACATAACGAAGAGTGTCAAAATATTAAGGTTTTGTCATTGGAAAAATAATCCTACGATAGGATTATTGTTTTTCTATCTTAATTTTAGACATTTTTCTTTGATAACATACATTATTATAGATTTGTAGTTGGTAAAATATTTGTTTTTGGCTGTCATTGAAGAGTAATGTTGTTATTGTTTGCGTGTTTGTTGGTAGTTACTCTAGCAGAAATGGTTTTAAGTCCAGAAATTGATTTCTACCATTAAAACCATCTCTGCTAGAATAACTGCCAAAAAACAATATAAATATGACATTACAATATCAATGAGATTAAAAAACAATAAAGACTGTTTTATACCTGAAGCTGAAGTTTTACACACTTTAACTCTATCTAGATGTAAGTATAAGTATTTGAGTGTGATTTGAGTGTTCCTTAGATTCTTATTAAGTAAAAAAAATATCATCAAATAGACAAGCCATTTGAGGAACTTAAGAGAATATTTTTTGTCAATTGAGTAAAATTGGCATAACATAATAAACTACAAGTCATTCATGGATTGTCCAATATACACTTGTAAAAAATTTCCCCTTGATCTAAGTATTTCATAGCTAAAGAAAAATTCAGTACGTTTTTTTCTTTTCTACGATATTGATTTTAAGTATGATTTAGAAATTTTAATTTGATCAGTTTTAAAATTAATACTTAATAAACATATTTGCCTATATCCGTATCGTTTATATCTATTTAGCTAAATTCAGCTTACAAGAGATGCACTTCTTTGTCCTAATCCAGGACCAGATTCACCAGGTGGATCTGGATCTGCTTCTGGAGGACAATCCGATTGAATAGATGCTCTAGTACGTCTACTGGCTTGACTTCGAGATCTGATGGGGCTCCTGGATGGCGCTGGTGACGTCATGACGTCATTGTACTGTCGTGTGTATCACCATATGACACCAAAGTCGATACAATCTGAAAAAAGACTCAATTTATTACAAAAGGAATGTTATGGAAATATAATCGTAAAAATAAAAAAAAAATAATTTTAATTTGGTTATTTCTTACTCCATATGTGACCAATACTGTCAATGTTTTATATAAATTACTTTGATTAGATACGATTTAAACATTTGTCATTTTTTAATGTCACTATATTCACTAAAATCGTCATTTTTATTAACAGCATTTTTCAATTTTCCTTCAAATTTCTTATATTTGAACTATTATCATCACCCATAGACTACACAAAGACCAATAAGTACAAAGCGGTAACTAATTATGTATTTTCATTCAGCGATCACATATCATCAGTTCTTTAACATCTATCAAATTGTTAATGAATAAATATCAGCCACTAAATTGTTATAACCTTTAGTGGAAGTCAAATATTTGTTTAAAAATTATTATTTTTGCGTACTAGTAAAACTTTAGAAATTATTATCTATACACTTCAAAAAATTATTGTGAGTGGTATAACTAGGGAACCTAATCATAGCTGTATATTCTAGAATCAATCTAAAATAATCTTAATCGGATTACAAACTAACGCTATAGATAACAAATCTAATTGATCCTAATAAAATGTGTTATACCATTATTAAACGGAAATAATGAACACATCCTCACCTATATCATTAATTGAAAAATTAGACAGGTTAATTATTCTTAAATAAGTGCAAATATTTTTAAGGGGATGACTTTGCTGCCTTTCAACCCTAAAAACACGTCTATAAGGATTTTTTCGCAAAAAAAAAATTGAAAATTTTGAAGTTTTTGATTTTTTTTTCATTTTCTCTTAAAAACATAATATCTTGATAATGTGGCAACATAGGTAGAGATTAAATTTACATGGAAGAAATCCCATAAAAGATCCAGTGGTGATCTTTTTCAAAATTTAAAAAAAAAATAATTTTTTATAATTTTCAAAGTAAAATAACTCGGTTATTTTGGACTCACCCTGTATAATTGGGATTAGATTAGATTAGATTTTTGAGGTGACTATCAGCCTGTTCCACTACGACATTTTCACTATGAAATGAAGTATGTAACCTAGGAATCAGAAGAGGATTCCTTACCACAATATATTGTGGTCCTCTTCTTATTCCTAGGTTACATTCTTCATTTCTACCTTTTAAAAAAAATCTAACAATTGACAACTGAACTTTCCATATAGCTCCTTGTCAATGACCTATAACCGCTTAATACCAAGAACCATAATTTAATGCTAAAAAAGTGTCGACATATTCACCAGGGGCGTGCATGTGGGTTATCATTGGAATGATTTTCTAAAAAGATATGTGCGCCACTGACGTTTTTTTCTCTTGGTAGCAAAATTGTGTAGACCGTATAATGCCGATAAAAGATATCTCTTGCTATTTTGTCGATTTCGGTCTCCTGAATGACATAAATGCAATTTTATTAATTTCAATTAATAAAATTAAAAAATTATTTATTCTTATTTATATATTCTTAAATTGTATGTATTTGTGTACACTGATGTTTAGTGCTACTTAAAATTAACAAAATTAATTATAAAATATAATAAATGACTTTAAAAGTAAGTATTTTCGTACCCATGTTTATATGAACTTTTTCGCATATTTTTTTTATGAGGAATCAATGAATACACATTTAACATTTTGCAGTGTTCATTTTGTTAAAAATTTTTAAAGGTTGCTATTAGAATAATTTAATTTAATTGTTTAATTAAACAAAAACAATTAACTAGAAAAAAAATCAGTGGCGCATTTTTTTTAGTGCTCCGAAACCGGTAGTGAGAGCAGGTCACATTATAAGCAGCCATATTATGACAACCACAGCGTAGAATTAAATTTCTATATAAGCAGTTAAGTGGCAAGAATCCTTATATAATTTTTTTATATACCTATACTGCAAGAAATTTGTTTTCTATTTTATAATTTGGCTTGCCTGAAAAAAAGCGTTTTACCATCCTTTTACTATCGATAGTTGCGCCCCGGTAGTACGAAAGTACTACCATTGCACGCATCTAACCGACACTTTCCGACAAGTCCGAATTAACTAGCTCTGCGCTGTGGTTGTCATTTTGTGGATCTGCCCAAGCTCACCTGATGATGGAGTAGGGCTCCGAAACCGGTAGTGAGAGCAGGTTGATCCACATTATGACAAACACAGCGTAGAATTAAATTTCTATATAAGCAGTTAAGTGGCAATAATATAATTTTATTATATACCTATACTGCAAGAAATTTGTTTTCTATCTTATATTAAATGTTATCTTCAAAATTTCATTCGGATCTCTAAAAGGACTTAGCTTTATAAAAACTTTAATCCCCTGTAGCTACAAATCCCCTGTTCAAATAAATCATATGCGAAAATGTCAAAAATTGACATATGATATGTCATTCTATTCAGAGTGTTACTTTCTATCGAATAAAGTAAAAAAATACTGAAGGTGCCATTTAAAAATCAAAAGTTGTAGTCATTTCCGGTGAAACAGAAAGTGACCGAAAACAATTGAATACGTCAATCAGTCCTAATTTATGTCATATACTAACAAACCAAATCTCATTTTTGTAACTGAAAAAATAAAAAAGTTATAGTGGTGAGCCACTTTTGAGACGCACCCGGTATATTGATATAAAAAAAATGGTACATGTTTGATGGCACAACATCCTGTATAAGTGATAATATTAAATGTCAATCGCAATAAAACAAAACCGCGTAAGGTTTGTAGTTAATTGAACAATGTTAATAGCAGTTATTAAATGTAATGCAATTACCCAACAATGCGTTTCTGTGCCAAAACAGTATCTTCTAGACGATAATGTCGTGCAAAAACCATGTCCATATATAAAACCGTGGCAATATCAATAAAACGGGCACCGTGTAACAATAAAAACGAGTCACTGAGATTCGTCCGAACTATGCGAGCCATCTTCGACGCGTCTAAAAACAGCAACCGCCAGCGATCGCACGGTTACTAACCGCGTGCTTTGGCACGAAGAAGTACTAAAACTCTTTCTATGGATCTTTATATTTTCTGAGAGACCGAAAAGGAGGTTGTGTCGGTAGTATGTAGTGAATCCCGATTTGTCTCCTGTGAACTAGTGGTCTTTAGTTAAAGATGAATAAATGTCGGGAATGTCGAAGGTTGGGTAATGGACTATTAAGAATATATTACGCTGTACTTTCGGGTCGCTCTCAGGAGTCGAGTAAAGCGGGTGTGTGGCCGAAGGAAATATAATATATTATATTTCAGAAATCTGCCTAAGGCTTAGCCCGTTCCTGTCGTGTTAAGCCACACCCAATATCCAAACACACGTGTTTTAATTAAAGCTTGATTAAGATTAAAGATTATATATCACTGCAATCACAAAACTTCAATCAATTTCCGTATTGTCACGGAATTTTAAATTATATCTTTATTTTCGAGGAAATTTAGTCCAAACATAAGGAATATTTGGTTGATGTTTGACCATCAAAATATTAGAAATAAAGAAGTTGTCTAAAAATGTCCTACAATACGGATATAGTATAATCCTTTATCTTCAATTTCCTTCTTCATTTTTGTAAAAATACCTAGCCAATTTTACATAAAACGTTAAATGCCGAACGCTTATTTTGTTACTTTTTCGGACTAATGTAATAGACTCTTAATGTTTGGCAGTAAGCGCCATCGCCACTGAAAAATAAAGAAGAGTACGGGCGAAGTAAATTGCGTCTAGGGCTTGCCCTCGCCAAAATTACCATCGCTTGTCATTCAGTAGCCGCTTTAGACGCCATTTTTTTCCATCGTATGGTAAATGTTCTATTCAGTAATATGAAAACTTCTTTCGTATTATATAAGCTTCTTTCTCCAGAAGTCATTACCGACTTTAGTTTTTTCCTTTACCACTTTAAGTAGTCATCATTCTGTATCATAATTGCTTATTACTCTAAAGTGATCATATATATACAGGGTTGTTCACCACATACGACACGGAGTATTGTAGCTAAACGATGAGATTTTTACAAATTGTAAGTTTTGGGTTCAATGAAGGACTATTAGAGGTACAATTTAAAAATAATTTTACAAGATACAGAGTGTCCCAAATAAGTAAAAAATATCAAAGTTGTATTTTTTTAAATGGGACACTAAAAATTTATTTTAAATAATTATTAGCTTCAAACGGCAATAACTTATTTGAATAAGTTTCTATCTACTACGTAAATCAATTTGGCGTCTGACTATTCGCGCCTTTACTCTGACATATTTAAACAAAAACAAGAAACATGATGAATATCTATAAAATATGATGAATATCTAAAATAACAGGTTGAAATAATGCCATTACCGATAAAAAAAATAAATATTATACGTTATTAATATATTTAGAGTTTAAAATAGTGCGCAGGCGTTCAGCAATGAAGTAGACGAATCAGATCGTTTTATTTGGTGCGTGCGCATGAAATCATGTTGAACGAAAAGGATTGTAACGTTTTTAGTTCGTTACATGTTTTTTTTATATATGATTTATATGATGTCTGGCGTATCATCACCGGATTCCGTATCGTTCAGGCCTGATAATTTATTTGACACGTTGGCGTAATTTTTACGTTTCCTAGTCGCCAACCCTGCTATCGTTTCACTCTCCTGTGAAGGCGCGCGCTGTCAAGATCCTTGTTATATGTCAAGGCCCCTCTCTGCGTTTTAACCTCACTTTGTTTTTGGCCGGTTGCGGCACGGTTGCAAATCCTGCTTTTAGAAATGGCAATTTAAATCTTGCTGCAAAATCTGAATCAGCTGCCATTTCGAGGCTACAGGTAAAGATTAGAGTTATTATCTTTATAGATTCGATATTATTATTGAATATTTTTAAGGTAGAGTTTTGGATTGACCCACCTTTAACTCGTATTTGTATTTTGCTGACACGTTGGTGTACTTTTCTTTTGTCCTCCACAATGTTACATAGAAGAAAGGACAGTTTCTTTGTTTTTTATTGAGCCCTCGG